TACCATCCACGTGGGAGATAGGGATGGAGTTCCTGGCTCCTGCAGCCTTGTCCAGCCGCAGAGGTTGCAGCCATTTTGGGATTGAACCAGATGATGGAAGATTGTGTGTGTGTGTGTGTGTGTGTGTGTATCTCCCTCTTTATCTGTAACTGTGCTCATCAAATAATTTTTTTAAAAAGACTATTGCACCTAAAATGTTCTCCCACACTGAACATTCCGTCTCCCCACTTTAACCTATCTTTCATTTGCTATTCAATCAACCAAAACATTAAATAAATATTCGCTGAAGGCCAGTCACTAGGGTGAGGAAACTGAGGGAGACAGATGTGTGTCCCTGAAAGAGTTCCCTGTCTCAGGTGGGATGGACAAAAGCCCTCAGTTGCACCATCTTCCTACAACATGCCAGCTCCCTGCTGGTTTTCAGTGCTTGCTCCCTCTTCGCTGAAGAGTGCTTCGCTAAGGCAAAGGCCGGCTCATGTTGTAAAGGCCCAGCTCTTAAATAGGTTAGGCTTCGCTGGCCAAGTCCCTTGGAGCATGTTAAGTAGATATTTGTATAACAGGGAAAAAAAGATTTCACAAAATTTGTATGAAGGAAAGGCAAAATATACTAATAAAGATTGAATACTTTTTTTTCTGTCATACAAGCTTACTAAAGAGAAGAATAAACATTTTTGGCAGGTAGAAAACTTTTAAGGTTCAGGAGCAGTGGTTGTGTTGTCAAATCAATTTCATCACCCATAGAAACCATCTCACTGCAACAAAAGGAATCAGAGCTTCTTGAAAAAGAATGGCTGACTGCAGAGCTGAAGCAGAAATACAAAAGATGAGATAGAGCATCTTGTAGGACCAGAAAGTAAGAAGGTCCTAATACATACCCAGAAAGACAGAAACAGAGACATACAGAGAGACAGACACATAAGCAGAGTCACACATATGCACAAGGGCACACAAAGACACACAACCACACACATACACAGCCACACACACACACACACACACCACGACGGGGAACCTATCGAAGAAACACAGGAGCTGACTTGCAAGAACCCTCAATGGACAAAGATAGAAATTTTTGAGCAACAAAAGAAATGATTATGCTCCATAGAACAAGATAAATATCCAAGAATCCATATTGGGATAAATAAGCTAGAGAGAATAGATAACCCTCCATGCAGAATTCCAAATAATCCAAGCAGACACTCTACCCTTAGCATAGCTCCCTTTTCCTTAGGTGTGGTCTGCATGGAGTGACTTCCCTCCAAAGAGTACGGTATGGGGAGAGGGGGAAGGAGGACTTTCATGGGGGAAAAGACGAACTAACACCACCTCAGCGAGGTGAGCAAGGCCAACCCTAGCAGTGGTAAGTTGTGTTGATGGGCAAGTATTACCCTTGACATGATGTGATAAAAAAGACACTTGATCTCTGTGCCCCACCCCGCCCTAACCTATAATGTCAGGGTGCTCAGGAGGAAAGCACAGAAATGTCTCTAGACGACCATTCTACAGAATGCCTGGCGAGGACTCCTCAGATGCCTGAGAGGTCATCACAGCCAAGAGTTGCCTGAGAAGACATAAACATAGTCGGGGATCCTGGCTGGGATCTCGTAACCACAGCAACAGGAAAACACACGAGGCAAAATCTGCAGGAAACAGAATGAAGTCTGGACTTTAGTTACTAACAATGCATTTACATTTGCTTATTAATTGTGATGAATGTGCTACACTAACGTAAGATGTTAATAAGGAAAACCAGGTAACCTATGCTAGGTGGGATACCCACATCCCATAATGTTGTGTTTGGGCTCTGCTGCTGATTGCACTTTCCTGCCACTGCACGTACTGAGAGGCAGCAGTGATGGTTCCTGTATCTGGGTGCCTGCTACTCACATGAAAGATGCTGGGTTGAGTTCCTGGTTTCTGGCTTTGGCCTGGCCCCACCCCATCTGTTGCAGGCATTTGGAGAGTGAGTGAGCAGATGGATGTTTTTTGTCTTGCAAATAAATAAAATTTTAAAATTTTGAATTAAAAAATCTATTCTGAGATAAAAAGCTTATTAGAAATCAACATACACAACAATCACTCTTAGCTCTGAAGTGGTAGGAAAGCAAGCTACGGGGCTGTATTTTGGTCTCTGGGCTATAGTTTACCAGCCTTGTCTAAATTAGTCACTTCTCTCCCCATTAGGTAGCTGAAGACACTTGAGTGGAGAAATACTCCCACCAGGGTTAAGGTCATCTTGCCATGGATAGAGTCAAAGTCTATGCCCTTTCTTATTGCAGCTTCATAAACTCATCTTTCCTGTGTTCAGAAACATCTGATGATTCTCCATGGACTTCAGCTGTTTCTGGTCAAGGGGGAAAATACGTTTAGCATGCCACAGAGATTTCCTGAAAAGTCCTACTGACGAACATTGAGCCGCAAACTCACCTCTAAAGGCAAAGAAAGCTAGGAAAAGCCATTCTGGCATTCACGATTCTATGATGCATAGGAAGAAAACCAGGGAAAGGGCGTGGTGTAGGCACCGACTGCCTGTAGGTTGCTATGAGGGGTTACCTAAAATGTCCTAATTACTTCACACATGTCTTTCTTCCTTACGGTTTTTATGTTTGTCATCATACAAAAACTTGAACATTTTTTAATAGTAAAAATGTTGATGTAAAGATACTTATACCTGAAATATCACTTTGACTTGATCTACAGCATTATTTGGGGAAAGTGTCATATCAAATTCCCAGATACCTCTTAGTTCTTGAAGAAAATCACAACCAGATCAAATTGCTTAAAAACAATAACCAAAAAAACCCACTAAATTTGCATGAAAAGAAAAAGCAGAAACCACTATGTCAGAATCACTAAGTGACAAGGTCTGGATTGGTGATCCAAGACCAGGGGATACAGGTCTCACTGTGCTGAGTGTAGTCTTTGCTATATGCATCAAAGAAGCCAGCTCTCCACTGTTAAACCCACTGGGAAAGAACTTACCTGTGTGTGTGTGGCATTTCTTTGCAAGAATGAAGAGCTTTGGAAAAGCCCCACCATGAGCTGGAGCCATGGCTGCACCATATCTAGATGGCAGGACCCCTCTATGGCATACAGTTCCCTTGACTGTGGAAACTCACACACTGGAACAGGGCTGGTTCGAGCTCCACTAAGTTGGGAGACCATCACCAGTTCAAGCAATCCTAAGTGGCAGTTTACTCTTGCTTGCCACTGTTTTCGCAGGCAATGCAAGTAACAATGTAGGTAAGATGCTGAAGTGCTTGGCACACTTAGAGAATTCGCTCTTCGCTTTAGGATGATTGACAACTTCATAACATCTGAACTGCAGATCACAGTCACTAACCACCAAACTGAGCATGTCAGCCCACTGTGCCTAAAGCGAGAACAACACAGTAACAACGGCTCACAAGTGCCGAAAGCTCAGGGTGTGCTGGAGGTGGGCTCAGTCATTGACGTGCAGTCTGTGTTTAATTGTCACAAAGACCCTTCAGGGGAGGTCCTGTCATTATTCCCATTTTCCAAATTATGAAGCTTAGACCCGGGGAGTTACTTGCCGAAAGTCATCAGCATGTAAATGATTAAAGCAAGATTCTAATCCACTTTGCTACACACAAGCTGCCCTAGAACAGAGCTCAGTCTCCATCACCATGCTCTTCAAAGTGAAATTCTGTATTTCTCTGTTTATTAGATGAAGGTCTGGTTCAAACAAGCTGCAAACTCAGGAGCCAGCCTCCTTCTGTTGCCTTTCAATGCTCACTGTCTGCCTGCTGCAGACCAAGTGCTCAGGGACATGAATTATTTTTCTTGAATGTCCATGAATAAACCAATGTCTTTAATGTGTTCAGTGTCTGCTCTCATACTATCATCAGGCTCTACCCAAAACCTGAACCAGCAGGCTTCATGAAACTCCTTTCAAAAGACAAACTGATTGATAAAAACCATTTCATCTTTCACACCAATCTTTAAGGGGCACCACCTACAATGAACTTAAGAATTAGAAAGACTGGAGATGACATGAGGATGTGATCAGAGCAGCTTCTGACAAGGAAAAACAAGCAGAGAGGACCAACAGCCCAAACATCAAATCGTAGCATATAGCAGAGACCAGAAAATGGAATTCAACTCACACCAGGTTCCTTCCTGGTGTTGACAGAGGCCCCTGTGAGCCACACGACCAATAGGGTCCTTTACAGAAGATGGGAGTCCACGTGTCTGTGTCACGCTCTCTGCTGTGTATCCTAGGGGTTGCTCAAGTGACAGTTAATATTTTGTTCTGCCTTCATTTCCAAACACTTCAACAATCTAAAAATATCAGACCACTGCACTGCATCACTTAGCAAGCAAGGAGTGTATTGCTATGCCATGTGCAAAACTGTGGACAGATGTTTTAAGGGCAGAGAGAGAAGGAAAACCATCTTTAAATCATTCTTTGTGCTTCAACCCCCCCCGCCACACACACACACCTGCTTTCAGGACTTCTTGTGGTCTCACCAAACAATTCCATGTGAAGTTACAATTACATTTTTTTAAAAATGACTCTAGGACTTCAGCCCAGCAGTTGAATACAAGATGGAATTGAATACAGGGCAGCCCTAAAATACCTTCTGTGTCGATGGACAAAGGAGCTGTCTGCTGAGGCAATTTCATTTGATCCCCACAGTCAGCAGTATGTAAGGTATCTCTTGAGGTTGCCAAGTGCCTGATCACGAAGCTAGACGTAGCTAGACGTATCTCTGGATTTCAGTGCACCTCAGCATTCACTGTGTTGCATTTCACTGGGAAATTCAGGTGCAAAACTTCAAATGAGGATTCTTGCTATTTTTTTTTCACAACTTTCATATTAACAAGTACCAAGAGTGGGTTTGCTGATTATTAGAAAGTCAGGAAAGCACAGAAACAGCTCTGGCAGCCACAGAGATGCTGTGTTAGTCTGATTTGCAATGATACAACATACTTGAGGTTGACTAACTTTATAACGAACAGAATTCAACTTAGCTTACGGTTCTGGAGATTCAAAGTCCAAGGTCAGGTGGTCCCACTGGCTCACTGGTTCAGCTTCTCATGAGGTCCAACAGTGCATGGAATCTCAATATAGGAGCATGTGTACAAGGAGGAGACCACATGTCCAAACAGAAAGCTAGAGAGAAAATGAGGGGTCAGCCTCACTTCTCTAATGACTACCTCTTGAACTTGCTCAGGGTCTCACAAGAGCCTCTTTAATCCCTTCTGAGGGCAGCTTCCTGGTAATTTAAGGGCCTCCTAGGGGCCCCACCTCTTAAAGCTTCCATCACCTCCCATATTGTCACCTTGGGGACGAAACATGTCATAAAGGAAGCCTTTGGGAGCTCACTGAAACCACATGCAAACCATTGTAGGTGTTTCCCTTAGGGTATTTCAAATGCCATGAATAGCAGGAGTGCTGGTTTGACAACCAACATCAAATCCAAAACATTTTATATCATTTTAAAAGAACACGAGAGACAAGTGCATCCTTGACTTGATAACATTTATTCGATATTCTCTGAAATTAGCAAGAATCAGAAGAAGCACATATCAATCAAATACAGCCACAAGAATGTCCTGGATATAAATAAAGATGCACTATGAGAAATTCTCACTACTGAAGGAACCAGTACTCTCTTACATTGACTACCTCTTAGTAACAGACAACTCAAATGTAAATTCAATTTACTCACAATATAAAAACCTGATTTTTTAAAGAAAAAATAGAGACTGAACTCAATTGTAATTTGCCTCACTAGGCCTTTTCATTGTGTATGTTTTCAAGGCCTTGTTTGAAGACTGTTACACAAATGACAAAAACAAACTTGAAAGAGTGGTTCTGCAAAGTTCAACCAAACAATGCAGAAATTAATCACGTACTCATGCACCGAATAAGGCAGAGGCTAATTTCATTCGGTTAGGAATAATAAATGTAACTAGTGTCTTTTTCACAAAACAAACATTTCAGACTTCTTTTTAAGTAACGGGTATACTGTATTATGCATCATACTCTACTTACATGTTCTTCTAACTCTACTCAGAAAGCCAGCACTTGGACATCAACAGAAACTTCTTGATTAGACTTACTCTGTAACAACCACAGAACTTCACCTGGGTTTTGTGATAGTGTCTACCATGAAAACAGCACACACTAGTAGAAGCATACAGTTTAGAGAGCTGGAAGTACATTAAAACGTAGTATATGGAATTCACAAATTCTGTATTTTTAAAATATTTTTCTCAAACTAAAAGCTGCAGAAAATTAGTTCTTAAATATTCTACCGAAAACTCTTGAGCAGCTAACATTTTAAATTTCTTAAGCTTTTTATTTTCTTAAAAATATTTAAATGAGTGTAGTATCCCATCTTTTTGAAAAATAATCCAAAAAAAATTACAAATCCTTTGTTTTAATCAGTGTGACCAAGGGCTTGTCATCCGGACTGTAATCCTCATAGGCGATAGGGGTCACATCATACATCGCAGGCCGGGATTTCTTTCCAAATCTGAAATAACAGAGAAACAGGATTCTGTTGGATAAATATAAGATCTCAAGTCCTATTAAATGCAAGTGGTGAAAATAACTTACACTCAAGAATCAAACGGAAACATAAGAATATTTTATTAATTAAAAAGGAGAGAATGTTCCAACACGGGAAGTAGTCCAAACAGCAGACTCATAGAATGGCAATCACTTTAAGTAGTACTCTGAACTCAGAATCAGCCCTTAAGGCATCCTGGTCTGGCTGAAAAGCCCATGAGAGCATTTCAGGCATGGAAAGCCAAGACATTCTGGCAAAATAAATGTCCTACATGAAGGGTCCCTGTGACTGAGATCCCAGCAGAAAGCAGTAGCCATCAAAAAAGGGTGTACTTTTCTCTGAAAGGAGGAGAGAACGTTCACTTTGCTTATGACCTTGTCCAAATATTGACAGAGTTTGTGGACTCAAAAGGCTTCCATTGCCTAGGCAGCGCATGTCAAGAGCCTCAGGTTATCACTGATGTCATACATTAGAGTGTTAATTGTTAAATTAACAACAGTAGTCACTGTGCACTAACTTCCCATGCAGGATCTCTGTTCTCAATGAGTTGTATTATGAGAGTCAACTGTAAAACTAGTTCTCAAACAGTTTTTCTGTGTGTGTGCAAATTGTTGAAATCTTTACTTAGTATAGAGTTGGTCTCCTGTGTACAATGTGAATTGAAAACTAATCTTAATGGAGAATGGGACTGGGAAGGGGAGAGGGAGGAGGAGGAGCGGTGAGATTGTGGGTAGGAGGATGGGTATGGTGGGAAGAATAACTATATTCCTAAAGTTGTACTTATGAAATGCATGAAGTTTGCATTCCTTAAGTAAAATGCTTCTTTGGGAAAAAAAGAATACACTCTTGACTATATTCTCTAGCAGGTACAGAAGTTTAAGAATCCTGATATTAACACTGAATGTGTATAAACATGAGTGCTTGGTGCAAGAGCAAAGAATGGATTTCACAAAACATAGACCAACCAAAGGTATAAGTTTCTACATAACAGGTGTTGAATTGTGTTTTTCTTCTGAGACTTATAAACCTTGGAGGGGAAGTTTAGGTTACACCTGCCATAGAGCCTGAAATGCAGAATGGTGGGGCAATCTTCCCTGAGTCGTGGACAGGTAGCCTCTCCGGCGGCATTTTCAGGGATAAACTATAAGGTTTGAGGTCCTCTGAGACCCCAACACAGAAGGGTAAAGGGCAGAAACACCCTCAAATACAGAGTTATCTGTCTACACAGTCTTTCAGCATCCACCATGCAAACCCACCCACCTCCCAAACCCCACTAATACACAAGCCATCATCCCAATACATTTGCCAACACCAAAAATCTCCTGGATAGCAGGAGTAACTCCCCGAAGCCAGGGGAGCCAAAATACAATTTCAGGACTTCCTGCCAAGCCAGTCTTAACATGGCAATTATTAAAGTAAAGCTAATTCAACTCCTGGGTGGTCTCTTCCCATTCAAGACCCTACCCTTCCCAAAATCCCTGGAGTGCAACAGTATTTAAACAATCTTTTACAAGAACCCACCATTTCCCCCATCTTTTTATAGACTATATTTTTTAACTATTTAAAGTCCAGGAGGGTTCATTTAAAGGAAATTTCAAAAAAAAAAAACCTTGAATTTTGAAAAGGTTAGTAGGATGCAGCCCTTCTGAATCAAAGGGACTCATTTACCATGGCTTTTGTCCTACCTCTCTTCTTTCCCTCTATTTTCCTTACATCTTCTGTGGATGGAGATGAGGAGTAGGATCCAGAGGCAAATGACAAAACAGTGCATTCTTCAAATAATCTTTTATTTGCACACATTTATCAATCTTTCACTCTAATTCGTTCAAGGGCAGAAGGCGTATCAGTGCCAGACAGGCAACAAGGTTAGAGCCAACACCTTCTATCCCAAGAGATCCACAGCTATTCCTGCAAAACTTAGCAAGGCTTAAGCAAAACCATTTCTGAAATGTGAAGCTTCACTGAGTCTGGGATTGTACTCATATGGGTGTGGGCCAGACTCCAGCCTAACCTGAGAGTAGGAAAGGCTTATGGGATCTTTCCAGAAACTACTTCAAGGTACAACATTTTGGGGCTGGCGCTGTGGCGCAATGGCCTGCAGTGCCAGCATCCCATATGGGCACCGGTTCCAGGCCCAGCTGCCCCACTTCCAATCCAGCTCTCTGCTATGGCCTGGGAAAGCAGAAGATGACCCAAGTCCTTGGGCCCCTGTGCTCATGTGGGAGACCCAGAGGAAGCTCTTGGCTCCTGTCTCCTCCCCTCTCTCTGTGTAACTCTGACTTTCAAAAAATAAATAAATCTTTTTAAAAAAAGGAAAAAAGGTACAAACATTTTGACAATTTCTCATAAAATAGCCAGACACATTGGTAATAATTTACTACTTACAAATAATAATTTAAAAAAATCCAGCTACCCAATGAAAATCTCTCCACATCCTAATCTAGTAACCATGAGATGGTTTCCTATGAGAACTTCAGCATAAGGACCAGAAAGTCTTATTAATCAGCTTATTAACTTATAATTGATCAAGAGGAAAGATCCAAACAACTTAATACATTGAATATATCTTTTAAAAAACGTTTTATATGACTTCATAGTTTGAAGAAGAATCTATTTCCTCAAAATCTAGAAAATTGGATGTTTCCATTTTGCTCATCCATTAAGAAGCAATAGTTCAAAGGAACATAAAATTACATGTTGGATTGAGGGTGGGTGTTGAAGATTCACTGAGTCTGGCTCACTGTGTGTGCAAAGTTGAAGAACAAACAAGGAGCATCACTTTACATGCAGACTGCTTGACTAAGCCACCTGGCATGGTGCCAACAGGGCTGACCTCAAACTGGAAAGGGTCAGGAAGCATAATGAGGTTACAAAGATAAGCTTGTAGAAGTCAGACCTACATGGCCAGCCCCAGAAGAGGGAGCAGTCAGGCATGGGCCTGGAATCCCAGTCCTTCAACATAGCAGCTGTTGCAAACCCTGTTCAAATTCCACAGGTGTGGAGATGGCATTGTGGTGTAGTGGGTTAAGCCTCCACCTGCACAGCCAGCATCCCACATAGGCATCAGTTCATGTCCCATCTGCTCCTCTTCCAATCTAATCTCTGATTATGGCCTGGGAAGACAGTAGAAGATGGCTCAAGTCCTTGGGCCCCTGCACCCACGTGGGAGACACAGAATAAGCTCCTGGCTCCTGGTTTCAGATCGGCCCAGCTCTGGGCATTGTGGCCATTTGGGGAGTGAACCAGAGGATAGAAGACATCTTTCTTTCTCTCTTTTCTCTCTCTGTAACATTGTCTCTCAAATAAATAAAGTTAATCTTATGTGTATAAAGTCAATTAAAAATGGATCTCAGTAAAAAATAAGAGTGGGAATTAGAGAAGGGGGAAGAAGTTTTTCACTGTAACACTATAGTTCTGTATACATCCCTATGGACTTATTTCTAATGGTACAGTTTCAAAATTTGTCATGGGACCCCAAATCCCACTAAGCTTGGTGGTAGAAATGCCATCTTAAGTGTTAAAGTGATCATATTAAGTGTTAAGGTGAACATATAGATAGGATTAGGTGTTAAAGTGATCATATTAGGCCGGCGCCATGGCTCACTTGGCTAAAACTCCACCAGCGGCGCCGGCACCCCAAGTTCTAGTCCCAGTTGGGGTGCCAGGTACTAGTCCTGGTTGC